GGGGGGGGGGGGGGGGGGGCGCTGTACCCCAGCCTAGCCTGAATGTTGGGCCACGAAATTTGCATACCTGAAGCTACGGCTAGAGAAAGGACTCAACTCATAGCTAGCCATGTATATTTACAAGCCATGGCACCTCTAAGGCTTGGGATTGTATATGGCATGTATATGGGATGTAGAGACATGATTTTGACTCCTGCGTTTCATGGCTTACATAACTTGAAGCCACCTAAGGCTGAGGATGTGTATCCTTCCATACAAATATCCGAATATTAAACACATCCCCCAACCCCTAGTATGGAATGTTTCCCATACGACAACTTGTACATTCGGGGATATATTTTGTGTTAGCGCCTGGTGGTTGTTCAGCAGTAGTACGTAGGAAGTATGTCAGGCGCTTCAGGATCCAAAGGGTAGAGGTTTAGGGTTTAGGGTTCGTTCTGACTAACATACAACCAGTACTTAGTTTGAGTCAACCCTGTTTCAGAGGCTAGATGAACTCCAACCCATTTACAAACTCCAGGCTTCAACCTTTCAGCAAAGGTGCTTCGACGGATTCGTCTTGCAGTATCCTTTTCCATGCATCGTACCTGATGTCTGTTCAAAAACAGACTTGTCGAACTACGTAGGAACCAGGAATATGCCTTGTTAAGCAGTTTGGCCTTCGAGGCTCAGGGTGGGGATATCACAAAATCTCACAAGTCCGGAGTAGCCCTTGAGTTTTGAGCTGTCTGCCCAAGAGTGCAATTAGGGCAAAAAGCCGATCCACAGTCCGCAGCTAAGATGCTTTGTAGCACACCGCCGTGCAGCCGAATGTGCCAGTAGAGATGATGGCGAAGGGTAGAGCCGTGCCAAAGTATGGGACCTTTGCAGCACGTCCAGACAATCTCACCAAATTTTCAGCGCATGTGCGCTCTGAAGGGTTTCCATTCCTTTGTTTCGGTCGGGCGGACACAACCCACTCATCCCACTCCGTGAGCTCAGATCCAAAAGCGCTCGTACTGCTGGGGGGGGGTCCGACATTTGCCCCTACATTTAGCCCCAGTCTAGCCACGCAGGGCTGAGGCTTGCACCTTGTGGATCTTTGCCCCGAGGATGACAGCAGTGGCCAGTGTCAGCGACATTGTTTCGAAGAGATCCTGAGGGTTTTGGGACTGGCCGCTCGACAACCATCTTGCATAGGCCTTATTCGAAAGATCAATCAACAATTTTTCCGGGGTACAATCACTTTTAGGATGCCAGGCTTCACAGAGTGTCACTTTACAACAACTGAAACGCCTTCTCTGCTTGATGGCCTCATGACTCTGAAAGGGTGCCCACGCGTCTGGAGACGAGAACTCGTTAGACATTCACAGGGGTCCATGCACCATCTTGCGCTCTCCCAGACCTTTCAAAAGGCCAGAGCAAACAGCAAGGCCTGGACTGAATAGGCGTGTCTCTTTGTAAGAGGAGTTTGTGTAACTTCTGCTCCCCAAAATTAGGACCCAGTTCTATTCATGCGATAGCCATATGGACCTCATTTTCAGGGTCGGGGCTGCCAAATCCTAATAACCGCTTTCATACTCTCTGTAGCATCCCTTACATGTAATGTAACACCCCCTCAGGTGTTTCACCCTAAACCCTGAACCCTATGTAACACCCTTCTAAGGAGTTTAAACCCTAAACTCTGAACCCTAAACCCTATCATATAACCGTCTTGAAGGAGTTTAGACCCTAAACCCTGAATCCTAGACAATCCCCTTTAAGGAGTTTAGATTACAGCTCCTACATAGTCAAAAAAAAAAACTTGCCACAAGCTGGGAATGCAGCCAAGGTGCGGAGGAGGTCCCACCTTGCAGTGGGCAGGCTAGGGTTTAGGGATTCAGGGTTTTAGGGTTTAGGGTTTTACGGTTTAGGGTTTAGGGTTGGGGTTTAGGGTTAGTTTTTGGATTCAGAACCTGAATTTCTCAGAGATTTGGGGGCCCAACATGTTCAGGCTGACTTTAGGATTATGAGGTACTGGGGTCTATCTTGGGGGCGCTAATTTATGGAACCCATTTTAGTGATCTAAGGGTGAACTCTTCCAAGGTAGAGGGTGTCTTCCGTGGGCTCCCCACCCAGCCGTTCTGGTCACGTGGAAGTCTACACCACATGCTCTCCAGAAGCCCCAGTTCCCCTCCTGCCATTTCACCTGGCATTGCTGTAGAGGCGTTGGGCAGAGCTCGCAGCGACTAGTTTAAGGAAATGGGGGTTTACCAAAATTAGGGGTACCTTATTGGGGGTCCTTATAATAAGGACTATACTATTTTGGGGTCTATATTGGGGTCCCCCTATTTTGGGAAACTACCAAATATCTAAATTAGAAGCCTTTCAGGGAAATAGAATTTCCAAACCATCACACCTGGCAAGATCGAACGGTATGGAACATGTTCAAGGCGCACAAACTTTTCTTTACGAGCAAAATGTGATTTTAAAAAAGAGAACCCGATTTCCACAGCCACAAATGTGAACCAGCACGCGGCAGATTCGCCTTTGTCTGGTCTATCTATTTTGGGCAAGAATCAAACCCTAAACCCTAGCTCTTGGTATGAACCACCAAACCCTCACTAAACCAACGGTGCATTTGTAAGCCTTTTAAGCAGGAATCCTCTTGAAATGGGATCCTTGCTTCGTAGGAGGAAAGAAAGGAACCAAATTATGGCATATGAGCCATTGTCTAAACTCCTAGTATCCCCGCTAATAACCTCAATAGTGGTCCCCTATATAATCCCCTATATAACCCCCTTTAAGGAGTTTAGACCCTAAACCCTAAACCCAAAATAGTAGCTTCCATTGTCTTTTCCATTATCCTTATAATCCCTATATAACCCTATATAATCCCCTATATAACCCCCCTTTAAGGAGTTTAGACTACAGGTCATATAACCCTTA